CAGGTACCATTCTTCCTTGAAACACTTGCACCTGCTAATACCTCTACTTAGAATCCCCTTCTCCAAATTTTTGTGTTGCTCAAGACACTGAGTTTTGGCTCAGCATTCCCTTTCTCATTGTAACCTTGCCTAACTTCCCTGCACTCCCAACCCTTGTTGCCCTGCTTTACTTCTTTCATAGCATTTACTGCTTTCTAACCTTCTGGATTAGGTAGTTCATTCAGTTTATTGTGTTTTCCACATACGAATATAATAATCCACAAGCTCAGGGATTTTGTTTTGCTAATTATTGTGTTCTCTACTGTGTATAGTAGTTTTTAACCAGTAATAGGTACTTAATAGGTATTTGTGCAATGAATAAATTAGCTAGATATAAAAAGGAAAGAGACAGGCTATGATAAAATAGCTTTCATTACTACAGACAAACTTTACAAAAGAGGATGCAATTAGAGGAGATAACTTGGTATTTAGACAGGGAAACTCAATTAAAATGGTCACATCCAAGTGGAAAAAATGGTCTGGAATTAACAGAAAACACAAAATCATAGATGGAAGAAGTTTCAATGATGGAGGTAATAGGATAGGGGGCTTGTGAGTACTTTGTGAATCCACTAAAATAGCAAGTATTTAAACTAGAAAAGAAAGCAGGCAAGATCAGAGAGCTAGGAAGAATCCGCAAAATAAAGGAGGATCCCTAAAGGACTGTGATGTAGATTATAAGGAACAACTAGAAAATACAAAGAAGAAAAAGGAAAAACAGTGGGGAAGAATGTTGTGTCTCTGAATTCCAAGAAGAACCTTCAAAGTATAAGGAACAAATAATGGGATTTATGTTTTCATGAAGAAAGAACTGAAAATATTTTGGAGCAAAGAGAAAGAAGCCAATAGATAGGATTTTAGAAGACAGGATGGTAAGAACTGGATATAAGTCATAGGTCAAGGGAAGCAACATATAAAAAGCAACAGATAGTTTGGGGAAAGGAAAAGATACTTTCACCCACAGACACCAGGAAAGAGACAGAAAACATAAGTGAGAAGAGGATAAAGAGAGTAAAGAAAAGTACAAAAATTGAAGTGTCATTGTTTTCCATAGAATAGGTGGAGAAATGATACGCCAAGAAAGGGATGAGACAGCTGGGACTGGGGGCATGGAAACAGAAAAGGTCTAAAATAGATCCCATGGGGAGTGAGCCTGAGAGTACAGAAAAGACAATTAAAAAGACTGCCAAATAGCAGCAGAAACCAGATTGAAGTTTGAAAGCATCCAGTTCTAATGAGCCAAATCTGCAATGCTTTGTTTGCCTCCAGCAGTGCTCTCCCCTGGGAGAAGAAGCAAAGAGAGCAAGAGTTAGAGATAACCTATGTCAGGAAATCGCTGATGAGCAAAGAAACAAAGGTTACTGCTGAAGAAGAGGCAAATCTTGGGCATGAAAGTCCATCTCATTGGAATCCAGGAGTGCACCAATCCCTGAGTCTGATCACGGAGGAGTATTTCCAAGGAAGTAGGGAAGGTAAACATTGGGAGTCCTGGGCTGAAAGCTGAATTATTCATGGAAATTTGCAAGCTTCTAATTTCTTTCCTCCCTTCCCTCACCATTGCTGCTGAAACCACAGGACTGAGAAGTAAAATGAGGTTAGAGATTCTTAACAGAGAACTGCAGTGAAATGAGCAATCCTGTAGCGGTGGGTGGATGGGGAGGGGGGGTGGGGGGAGTTGTTGGATATGATTATCATGAAAGTGGTAATTGTACAAAATTATATGAATTTCCAAGATATTAGAGCTACTAACTTCTAAATAAACTACATACAATCTACCAGAAAAAGTGGGCTTTTATTACATATAATTTGAGATTATTAAATTAATACTCTGTTTTTATAATGAAAGCCTTGTCCTTTCCACTGATGTAGTAAAATCATTTGCGATGAAGAGGTGGCCCCTCCCCGCCTCTAACTTCTAACCTCACTCTCCATATTGGTCACTCTGCTCCAAACACCTCTGCCTTCTCTTCATTCCCATAACAACTCTTCATTCCCATTCAACTCAGGATGCTTGTCCCAGCTGTTTCTCAGTGACTGCCAAGCTCTGCCCCCAGACAAGCCCAGGCTGTTCTTCTGGACACCCAGGACTCAGATTAAGTGTTAGAAAGACTTGCCTGAAGATCAACTTAAAGCAGCTAGATGCATTCTCTATCCTATTACCTTGTTTATTTTGTCTTTAATTCCTGACATTATAATGTGAAACTACCTTGCTTACTTATTTATGTTTTGTGGTCTGCATCCTCCAACTAGAATATAACCCCGAGGAGGAAAGGGTTCTACCCATCATGATCACCATTACTCCTCTAACATCGCAAATGCTTTCAAATACACAACCATGCATAGATAAGTATTCAATAAATACTTCTCTAGTGAATGAGTGAAAATGAATGATGAAAAACTTGGTATCTTAATGCTAAATATGACAAAGTTGTATTAAGTAAAAGTTTTCTGACAAAGCTTTATTCCTGGTACAAAATCGTATTCCTACTGCATAAAACAACCCCAAAAGGTTTTACCTGTCTTTTAATAAGTAAAAATATTATGAGGCAGGAAAATTTATTGTTAACTAAGGAATAAAGTTGAAAATGTCCTTAAAGAGGAACCTAAATAAACTTCAATAAAATTTTAAATGACTGGAAGTGTTATTTTTATCTGGCTGGGGGGAGCTGGAAACATAGACAGGTTTTGCAGAGTTTGAGGAGTGTGGAATTTCATTAATTAGGGCATATGCACAAAATGTCAAATACATTTTCCACAAAGTAAATTCCGTAAATTGTGAGCAATATTTATGTTATTTGCCTTGTTATGCTAGATCTAGAAAACAGACTTAATTAAGAGGTTAAAAGGAAGCACATAAGCACACTGTACTCTCTTCTCTATAAAAGACAATTTTTAAGTAAGAAATTCAGTATCCAGCCAAGTTTTCACCTTTTCTGTGGAAAGTATTCTCTGCCAGTTCATTGACAAAAATATTTTTATAAAAAAGCATAAGGAAAGAAATATTCAAATAAATCAATAATTCTAGTGAATAGTTGAGATTACAAAATTCCTCATGCCCTTAAGTATTTATTTACTATAATTATTTACTAATCAGATCCTCTGAAATATAAGTACAATTAAAAATATTTTCTTTAATATTCCTTTAAGATATACATGTTGAACCAAAAGAATCAAAATAATTGACGAGTAAGGAAATTTTAGATAGACACAAATAGAAACCTTCTACAAAATCTCTGATCTATATTCCTCAAGAACATCAAAGTTAATGAACACAAAGTACATTTGAAGAACTATTTCATGTTTAAGCTATGATTTTGTAGGAAATCATAAGAATTCTTAAGAAATACACATGACATTTCCATGAAATCAGGAAAAAATGAATAGATGAATAGATAGATGGGTAGATACATCTAAGACTTTTTTGATGTCAGTGATTAGAACAATAATTAGTTGGTAAACTATAAGCATGTGGTTATGTGTTCTAAGCAATAAATCAGTAAAAATGGCAACATGCTTTTAACCTATAGCATTATTACTTTGATGAGTGCAATGTAAAAATTGACACTGAAATGTGAAGATTCCTTGGACTAAGAACCTGCATAAAGTGGTTTCATTACTTACCAATATATTATATATTATAAAAATACTGACATTTTTCATTTATGATGGAAAGTTGAATAGCATATTAAAATCATAAAACAGTGCACAGAAATGATATTTCAGATATAGTTTGACTTGATAAATCTTTTCTCACTGTCTTTAAAATCCTAATTTCAAATTGAAGCACTAATAATAAAAAATGATAAAAAGCAGCTTCAAGGTGGTTACTATGTTAACTTTGCTTTAAAAAGAAAGACAAGAAGCTTATAGAGATTAAATATCTTGCCTACATTTCAAGTAGGCCTTCTGTGACAGATGTGGAAAAGTACAATGGCTTCCCTGCTCATTGGACAATAGTGACTATTACATAATCAAAGATATTATACCTCGGTATAAGATTTGAATTTATATTACTGGCAATGTTAATTTCAATATTGCTATATTTTATACAGAACAATAAATAGCATTTAAGATTAAGATGATACTGAAACAAAAAAATTAACAGGTAAAATATTCCTTGAATTTTATTACCTGGAGAAACTATGAAAGTCAAGATACACACATACACATACATAGTTATGTAGATATTATATTTTTAGTCTCAAGCATCCAGAAATTTTCCAACTAGTTAGGCAATGTTTAGGGCACAAATAGTATACTGATATTTATCATTCATTTTCTTTGTCAACCCAACTCTGCTTAGAGAGTAGCAAATTTTAAGTATTTGGGGCATTCTAAGTGCTATGTAAGTCTTAAGGAAAACATACAGCACATAAGTATACTGAAGCAGAAAAAAAGAAAAAAAATCTTTGTTTTATAGAAAACTGTAGTCAAGGTTCAACTGGGGAAATCTGACCCACTTTGAAATTTAAATGCTGCTTTTGCACAGACACACACGCACACACACACACACGGGACTTTCCACTGAGGTTACACATGGTAGATATCAAAGCTCTATCAATGACAGCCCAAATCATCATCCCCAAGGCAACAACAAATGCATTGAATTCAAACTAATTCATTCTGAAGTGTTTTTATCCTCAATCTTTAAAAAAAATCATGAATATAAGAAATCCAGATTTATAATAATAATAGAACATCAAAATCATTTCTAAGGCATTATCCTAGTTCCCTTTTTCTGTGAGAATTCTTGTGTCAGTATCAAGTATGTAGCCAATAAAACAGTAAATCTTGATTTTCAAAGTATTGTCAACTTAAAGGTTATGAATATATGAGACAAGTCGTTACTTTCATTATCGTGAACTCTTGAGTCATTTAGCTCAATTCACACAGGTACTGTACATATAAGAAATATCATCATGAAGCAAGAAATCTGATGGCATAAGTATGTGTCTACTCACCAGTGGTTTCCACAATGCCTTCTAGGATGACGACAATCTCGAACTGTTCAGTTTGCATGCTTCGCTGTGATAGGTCATAAAAGGGGCTTTTGGCATCGATCACGTGGCAGATTGTGAGGGGGGACACAAGAAAAAGTTGATCTGCCCCTGTACTAAAACCTACATCCAGTTCAAGTTGGTCAAGGGGAAGGAACTCACCCTCAGGTGTCTGCCGAGACTAGACAAGCACACAGAAAAAGAGAAGAAATCACCACTTGTACTGAAATTTCAAGGCAGCCCAACAGTAATTTACATCATTGCCAACATTCCGCACTATCAATCATCTGCAACAGAATCCAAACAAATCATTATGCAGCTATGTTCCAGCAAATGGGCTGAAACCCCACACAGCTCGTGCGGAACATACATGCATTATTTATAATATACAACTTGCTAAAATTACCATTCCCTAACTCGTGAGCTTTGGAGAAATGCCTGGTCCAACAATGGCTGTTAGCACAAATTGTGGAACTGAGTGTGCATGTGGTACTGCTTGACATAAACCAGTGCATGATAACTCATTGCAGGCCCAATTTCTCTTTGCTTACAAAACAAGTACATAAGAAATTATTATGGAATTTGTTAAAGGTGGAAAGGGGGTGACCATCATTTAAGAAGGGATTTATTTAAAAAAAACAAAATAATTGCTACTTTTGAAAAGTAAGAAATGGATATAAACTGGAATAGAAGAGTGAAGATTTTATTATACTAAATTGTGTTATGCATACAAGTGCTCACATAATGAAATTAAAAGGCAGATGCTGTTAGCTAATGGCTTTTAAACTCCTATAATAAACTGCATTATAATAGCTTACTTCTGTACTCATGATTGTAAGGAATAGTGAAGTATTGCACTAACTTTTACTTTCTTTAACCAAAATACAATTTTAAAAATCAACTTTTGATAAAAGAGAGTTCAGTAAAACTTTCATAAGATTGTAGTAGTCAGTTTCAGTATAAACCACTCTAAAGCTTAACTAAATAAATAAACTGCTTACATGCTAAGAACTCAAAATGAAAATTAAATGACATAAAAATCAGCAAGCCATGAAAATAAACTTACTAATCCTCTTCCATTCATTTTCATTTTGTTTCCCATACATGTATATATAATAATCATGTATAAGCAAATATTTAAGTTTAATGAATAAATTATGGTGGTAAAATAAAAACTGGGTAGTTAGTAGCTATATTCAGAAAAAAAATTAGTGGTGGGGAGTTTATTTGCTGCTGGTCAAATGGGACTGAAGAATGCAGTATATTTTAGCAGGCCCTTTGAAAAGCTAATTTAATAAACAAACCTGGACCTGTAACACTAGTGTGTCCAGTGAAATGGTGATTTAAATTTTAAAAATCTTATTCTCAAGGTTGAAAGAAATGCATTGGCTTTGTGTGGTGAGTAAATGAGCCTGAAAACACTGAGAAATTGGTTAGTTATATGTTCTTCCTGGCAAAACAAAAGAAAGGCTTTCAAATTATTGGTAGTTTATAATGTCAGCAATTGATGCAGAGTCCCAACAGCAAAATGAGTCCATTAGCAAGGCTGTTTTTGTAGTTAGTGCTACTCAGAAATATTATTTGTGTAAAAGAAAATTCTATGAATACATTCAGACTACTTCTCTACCTTGCAAGTAAATTGTAAACATAGAAGAGGAGCAGGAACCATGGAAGGGGTTAGAGAAGGAGGTAAAAGAGTAGGAGGAGGAGGAAAAAACTTACTGACAAACCAAAAAAAAAAAAGAAAACTCCATGGAAAAAGCTGATAATTCAAAAACAAAAGCGGTAGTTCTAGTAACTAATGTTGAGAAACCAAGGTATTTTCAAGCTAGCATGAAAAATATCTGTTTAAGCTTTTTTAGGCCACCTATATTTCTCAACCTATTCCCAAATTATTAAAATATGAATGAAATTAACACCTTCCCAACTGCATAGTTTTATATCACCTATTGATTTCTATAACAAAATAAGTGGAAAATAGAAAATAAAAAATAAATAGAAACAAAAATCCTGTGTCATTGTTCTCTCACCTAGTAAGAAACAGGTGCTATATAAACACAAGGTGGTATTCTGATATTTATAATTAATGATAAAAATTTTCGTCCTTTTACTGACTATTCTAAGCTCTGCTTTTTCCACACTACATGGTAGTGTTGGCAATAATAATTCTTCAAACACTCAATTTGCCATTTATTTTAAAATAATTTTTCCTAAATATTACATTTTTTCTAATTATCATACATTTATACCAATGCTAAAATTTGCCTCCCTTTTTTATGTATCTGTTATTTATACCTGTGTCTCATTATAAGGAGGTTTAGAGTAAGCTATGAAATTATATATTCCTTAATCATTCAACAACCCATGAAAAGAAGAAGTGGCCTAGAAACAGGCAGACTACGAGGAGAATGCCAGTCTGTAATAAGACATATTTTATTTTTAGCAAAGTAGTTTATTCAGATATAGGTCATTTAGACTTAAACATGCACGGATCTGTTCCATTCAGATGCAGCTTCTTACTTTAAGTGTTTGTTCTATATACTCAAAATGATACCAGGTGATCCCACCTCCCACCCCCAATCCTACCCCCGCCAATGCTCTGTATCATATCCAAGTCTTCCTATTAGGAAACACTACAAGAAGAGTATGAAAATTTGCATTTCTTTGAAAGATGACTTCCATGCATTCATGCAGACACTCCATACATACCCATTGAATTTTTTCATTACTTTAAATGGTTGAGACTCACTACACACATTCACAATTTCGTCATCTAGGTCCACTTACATTATGTTAGACCTTAAAATAGTTCAGCTATGAATATGTTCACATCCCTGATTTTTGTTTGCTTCTTTGACTTAGTAATAGACTACGAAGCCTGTTAATAGCTGGAATTAGATAGAAGGCTTTGGTGCAGGTCAGAAATGAAGGGTGTGGTAGTAAAAGTGGCAGGTGCTTGGAAAGTTGAAAGTATTTGAAGTCTGAGCTGCTGACTAGAGCCAAGTTATGTTATCACTGCTCAGCCAGATACATTCAAAGTTCCAGAAATCTACAGATACCTACAAAATTCATTTTCAGAGACATACGTATTCCACTCCAGGATCTAAATAATTCTAATTTAGGGTCTCTTAATTCTTGTGCAGTTCCAGAGAATAGCTACAGCAAAGTGTTTTTTTTAAGGCTTTATATTCCATAAGTGGAGTGAAAGAAGTTGAGAACTTTTGTTTAAGAAAACTTTGTATATACATGTACACGAAAGGAAAAGATACAGAGGGAAATATGAATTTGCCTTTGTAAAATTAAACAATGATCTCCAATTTGAGTATTTGATAAAAGCAGTAGCACTGATATTCCATCAGTTTCACATGCCTTATTTAGCTATCAACTAATATATTTCACTTAGAAATATTTGACAGTAGGAAGAACAAACAATTTAACTTGTCTTCATTATGTTATAAAAAGACTCATAGTATAAGAAGGCTGTCATCAATAGAGCTGTTTGTTATTGGTACGCTTAATCTCCTTTAGCTCTGCTAACTTCATAATTCCAACAGAACACAAAACCATGATCATTTTCCAAATAAGAGAGGGTAATGGGGTGGATAAGATCAAAGACCAATGCATGCAGTGTGGAAATGTAGAAATGAAACCCACTATTTTACACAATAAGTTAATAAAAAACTAATAAAAAAATCAGAGAAATAGAAACATGAAAATAAATATGGTGCAGGTGAAAAATAATTCAAATTTTTTTCAAATTCAAAACAATTGCTAGATTTCAGACTGAGGTGATAAAATGTTTAATTTCTAAAAATCTGATTAAAAGTTTTTATTATTTTATTAAATAATTATAAAAACTGTGGAATAAATAAGAAAGCAAAAAAAGGTGGCAGGAAAGACAATGAATGTAAAATTTATAATTCTTAAAACTCTAGAGCATAATTTTAAAAAGCTATGACCTGAGAAAAGCTTCTATACAACTTTTATTCTCACTTTTATGGAATCATAGAAAATAAATAAAGATCATTATATCATTATAAAGTCATGCTGGCTGATTGGAATATAGAAAATTCTTACAGCTATGCAAAAAATTGAGGACATCTAAAGCTTAAAATTTGTTTAAATTTATTATTCAAAATTGTCATTTGAACATCATGGATTTTATAATGATTTTGTAATTAGAGTTGTAGCAACAATTTCTGTTGTTTTTTATAACAAAACATGCCATTTTATAGATACTTCAACTGTATACATTTTCCCATTTATTACAAATTGATCTATGTATAGAATTTAAGACTTTTGCCACACTTTATATTATATGTTCTAATTTCCAAGAAGCAATTCATGTCAGATGACTTTGAATTCCTTTGAGTTACAAAAAGGCCTACAAAATAATCACCTATAATTTTGTTTTGCATTTTTTCTTTTTTTCTGGAACTGGGGTTTGAACTCAGGACTTTGGGCTTGTAAAGCAGGCGCTCTGCTACTTGAGCCACACCCCCCAGTCCAATCACTTGTAATTATGACTACAGATAAAAATGAATCACTAGTCACATATGCTGGAAATGACCATTATGGTTAGGTACTTTCAAATAAATAAGTTTCATATCACAGATGAAAGGCAGTTGAGGGCTTATACAAAGACATACACACACACACACACACCCTGTGTGATACACATTTAGCACTGCCACGGAATAAGGAGCACACAATTAGCCATCCTTCTTCTGGAAGATAAGTAGGCATGTGCCCATGTTCATTTGTCAGGGCAACTCTTCACCAATGCAATCCGTGTCCTTGCTACATTTCTTCCATCTCTGACCTGTAACATTCTTCTTTCCTAGCTTGGAGTAAAGGTCAGAGAATTTGAATAAAACATTTACCCACCATCACCTAAACTAATCTCCATATGTATCTCTATCTTACTTTAAGTCTTGATCCATGTTCTACCACCTCCAACAAGTCTCCACTGGAAAGGTGTCCACAGGGCCCATGATCAGGAAAAGAGGCTCAGACAGAGAGGGCAAGTCATTCTTTCCTACCACCTGCCCACCATTTAATCTACACTTTTACTGCTCCTTTTTGTAGTATGCATGTACATGTTTGCATATGTTGAGTATATGATGAAGTCAGAAAAAAAAGGCTAGATCAGAATAAGGTCAGAATAATATCTAGAAGCTG